CTGACGTGACAGGCTCAAGCTGGTTTAGAAAACTTCTTTGAACTTGGTCAAAGTTCATTCTGCAAGTCCAATGCTGCAGACAAAGCCATGCTGCAATGACATGCTACGTGGCAATGCACATTTGTTTTTACATCGTAAAAACCCATGTCTAGTTTAATTTTTGATTTGTATTTTTGTTATTTGTTGTTGAATTTATGTTGTTGTTTTTAAAGAAATGAATTACCTTAACTAAACTAACAAAATTAAACTAAACTAAACATTAGTAGAACAGAGAAATAACAACATATTCAGGCTAATATGTGCCTGTAGAGCCCTTAATGAATCAAACCTTTATAAAGTGACGGAGCTCTCAGACACTGAGTCTGTACCACGGTGTACGTGGCGTCACACAAAGAGGCTGCAAACAGAGGAACAAAGCCTCTGCAGAACAAAGGTCAAAGGTCACACACCTCTGTACTTCTTCTCCATGTCCATCACCAGCAGGGCCAGGTAGCTGTGGCTGGCCGACAGCAGGGCTTTGATCCAGCTCTCCTGACTCGCCTGGTCCTCCGCGGCGAACTTGTACGTCCTCAGGCCCGGCTCGCTCCACACCAGGGAGAAGGCGAACTGCTCCTCGGACTCGCACAGCTGGACGGTGCAGCCCTCCAGAACAATCACGCCTATCACGTCCTTGTCTGCCGGCCGATCCTTGTAGAAGAGGAGGTTCCCCTTCAGCACAAACCAGCGCTTCTGATAGGAAGTCTTTATCTCACCCTGTATGAGACAATCTGCGGTTTACTGGACACAGTTTTCTCAGCCGCTCAGCTTCTTGCACAACTGCTTTCATGCAACATGCAGCTCACTGGGAGGGTAAATGTCACTTGTCTGTTAGAAAATAATAATGGGATAGACATCTATAAGTGATTAGTTTTTGGATGAAACCCAATTCAAGATGTCCACCAGTGAGCTTCTCAAACACAAAAACAGCTTTAATAGTAGTAGTAGCTGACAGTAATTTACAACACATAATCTGAGTATGACATCTTGTGATATTGCCTGAGCATTATGACAACACGACATTTTTGTTTTAATCACTGGCATCCTTAAACCGAACTTAAAATGTTAAAATACTGCTTTAAACTTTCGATAGAAGTGGCGTGAACTATTATGCAGCATTTCCTTTGAGTTACTTCAACTTTATTGTTATTATCAAAAAATAAAGAAAAAATAATAATACAGGAGAATATTCTTACAAAGTGATTTTCTTTTCTTTCATTTTACCTTTTTGGAGAGGTACCCTTCCTTGTCCACAGGTGAGCTGCAGGATTCAAAGTAGCTGACAACTTTTTCATCAATCTTCATTTCAACATTGCAGGGGGCTCAAAACTCAAGCTGCCACGAGTTATAAAAGACGACAAACAAAAATGACAAAGTTAGGTACTTCCGCATCTGATGCTGCATATTTGTCTTGTTTAATCAGAGTCCAGATCATTTCTGCAGGAGAAAAAAAAAACACATTTTCCACGTGTTGAACTCTTAACACAGCACATGGTAGATTTATATTGCTCCTCAAGCATCAGTGTCATTTTCCTAACAGGAAATAATATATATTTTTACTGTAAATTGCTGGAATGGTGCCAATCAGACGACACCGTAATACCCCTGGCTGTAAACACACGGCTCGGATTCAGTGTCCAGTTGTAACACACGGTTTAACTTGTGAAAAGAGGAAGTGAGAACATTTCTCCAATCTTCTCCTTTTTACTCACCTTTCTGGAGTGTGTGTTGCAGTGTGAGTTTCCTCCCTGTATGTGTGTGTGTGTGTGTGTGTGTGCGGCGCGCGCGTTGCTTCCTGGTTCGGAAGGTGAGGTTGTTGCTCCACCTCTAACATATTTTAAAGCTAATCCCAACTAGCATCGTAGCTTAGGATTGATCTTTTTATTTGAACTGTATTGAATTAACTTTAATGCTCGTGTGAATTCCACTTTGTTACGATTTAGTTTAATGTGGGTTTTCTGATAAGCGTGTGAAGTATGGCAGGCCGGTGGACCATTTAATAGTTGAACAGGAGGGATGATGTWGCTGTTTTGGACAAACCTTGAATGGTGTGATCATGTGCTCAGAGTATGTGTTGAGGAGGACTCTCAGTGACTACCATGCCAAGTTTTAGCTCAATGTCTGTTAAATTGACTTTATTACGTCATAAGTCATTTTGTTTATCAATGCCATGGTTGACATTAAAACCTAAACCAGTAGGTGCATACATAAAATTGGCTATGTATTTTACCTTGGATTATTTAGATGATTTTGTTAGTGGATTTGTTTTCTCATAGGCGTAATTTGCAGGGGGCTTAGAGGGGTTGTGACCCCCAAAATAATTTGATCCAGTCAATTTATAAAAACCAATAAAATGTCATCATTTGCTCAAACACAATAGAAATAAACTGGTTAAATAGACACATGCAATTCTCTTGTTGTCTTTAGGTAACTTCGGCCTGATTAAATATATATAAA